GGAATATCAACGTTAAAATAAAGAACAATGAAAAACAGAGAGAGAGAAAAAGAACTGATGCAAAACGTTGAGTTGCTTGTTCATGCAATCTGAATTACAATTTATAGATAAAACATAACTAACTACTAACATCATGGTCCTGAAATTCAGCCACGATTCTACACATGATCTGCTGAAAAATAACAACCTCCTAGAAAACTAGATAGACTTCTTTGAACCATTCAAATTAAATAATAATAAAAACTTCAGCAACGTGGCAACAACTTTAGCAACGTGGCAGCAGTCCTAAACACATGTCTAACACTCCTCCTTGTTTAGATGCTGCATACTCCAAGCTTCTTTCTGAAAATCTCAAACTTGTTAACCGGCAGAGGTTTCGTGAAAACATCTGCAACTTGATCTTCTGTTTTGCAGTAGAGAAGATCCACAGCTCCATTTTTCTGTACTTCCCTCAAAAAGAATAACTTGATGTTAAAATGCTTAGTTTTCCTGTGAAATACAGGATTATGAGAGATAGCAATAGTAGCTTGGTTGTCAACAAGAATCTCCGTGCTTTCCTTCTGCTCCAAGTTAAGATCGATTAAAATCTTTCTTAGCCACAAAGCTTGATTAACAGCTGTTGTTGCAGCAACAAACTCTGCTTCATCAGTGGATTGAGCTACAGTTTCTTGTTTTTTCGAGCTCTGTGAGAAAACACCAGATCCAAAGCTAAAACAGTATCCTGAGGTACTTCTCATATCATCAATGGAGCCACCCCAGTCATTGTCGGAAAAACCAGCTAGCTTGAACTTTTCATTCTTCCTGAATTTGATTCCAAAATCAACTGTGCCTTTGACATACCTAATCACCCTTTTTGCTGCTTTTAAATGCACTTCACTTGCACAGTGCATGTAATGAGAAAGAATACTTACAGCATTCAATATGTCAGGCCTTGTTGCTGTTAGATACATCAGACACCCCACCAAGCTTCTGAAATGTGCTTCGTTGACTTTCTCGGATCCATCTTCTTTACTCAGCTTTTCTTTTTGATTCATTGGAGTGCTCATCTCTTTGCAATCTTCCATATGAAACTTTTTAAGTATCTCTTTTGCATACTTCTTCTGACAGATGAAAACTTCACCTTGATCTTGCTTGATCTCCATGCCAAGGAAGTAAGACACAAGCCTGAGGTCTGTCATTTGGAATACCTTCATCATCTCCTGTTTGAAATCTTGAATTTGATCAGCATTGCTTCCTGTAACTAGTAGATCGTCAACATAAAGTGAAATGACTAAAGTATCATTTCCACTATATTTAACATACAAAGTGGACTCGGATAAGCTCTTTTTAAAGCCCAAGTTGAGTAGATAATCATCGATTCTACTATACCAAGCTCTTGGAGCTTGCTTCAATCCGTAGAGTGCCTTTTTAAGGAGATAAACTTTGTCTTCTTCTCCTTCCATCACATAGCCTTCCGGTTGTTCAACATAAATCTCCTCCTGCAGAAAACCATTCAAGAACGCTGACTTGACATCTAACTGGTATACCTTCCAATTCTTTTGTGCTGCAACAACGAGTAAGAGCCTGATGGTGTCGAGTCTAGCTACTGGTGCGAAGGTATCTGAGTAGTCCACACCGAATACTTGAGCATATCCTTTGACCACGAGTCTAGCTTTATGCTTATTGATTGAGCTGTCAGCATTAAGCTTGGTTCTATACACCCACTTGACTCCAATCACCTTTCTGTTTTGGGGTCGGTCAACCAACTCCCATGTTTTGTTCCTCTCAATCATGAATAGCTCTTCCTTCATTGCAGCAATCCAATTTTGATCCGTCTTGGCTTCGTCATAATCTGCAGGTTCACACACAACAATGTTGCATCTTTGATAAACATCAGAAAGTAGTCTTGTGCCTCTGACAGGAATGTCATCCACCATGTCATTCTGCCAGTTCCCTATGCTTTGTTCTGCTGTGTCCGAAACAGGAAACTTGAGCTTTGAATCTTGAGGTTGGATCCATCTTCTTTGCATCATCCCAGTTCCATTCTTCATCTTCCATAAAGTGCACATCCCTGCTTATAACTATTTTTCCAGTTTGTGGCTGGAAAACTTTATAAGCTTTTGTAACAGAGCTGTAGCCAATGAAGATGCCTGGAATTGCTCTTTTATCTAGTTTATCTCTCTTGATCTGTGGAACATGAGTGAAGCACAAACATCTAAATATTTTAAGGAAATTCAGAGATGGTTTATAACCATATCATGCCTCAAAGGGTGTTTGATCCCTTACTGCTCTTGTGAGAAGCCTATTTTGCAAAAAAAAAAAAAACAGCAATGTTTGCTGCCCCGGCCCAGAACTGCTTTGGTAGGTTCTTCTCATGTAGCATACATCGTGTCATCTCCAATATGAATATGTTCCGTCTCTCACTTACTCCATTTTGTTGCGGAGTGTATGGAGCTGTTAATTGATGTTGGATGCCTTCCTCCTCACAAAATCGGTTGAATGAGTCAGAGGTGTACTCCTTGCCATTGTCTGATCTAAGAGTTTGAATTCTACAGCCACTCTCATTCTCAACTCTGGCTTTAAAGTTCCAGAAGACTTGAGCCACCTCTGACTTGTGCTTTAAAAAGAAAATCCAACACATACGGGTGAAATCATCAATGAATGCAGCATAATAGAGGCTACCTTTCAAAGAAGGCGTTCTTTGTGGACCTGCAATGTCCGTGTGAATTAACTGCAGCTTCTTTGATGCTCTCCATAATACCTTGAGAAATGGTTTCCTGTTTTGCTTTCCAAACTGACATGCTTTGCAGTTTGAAATGCGATCATCAAGTTCTGGAAGATCATTTACCATCATCTTGGTTCTCATTTGCAGCAGCCCCTGATGATGATAGTGCTCGAGCCTCTTGTGCCAAACTTCTGTGATACTTTCTTTGATTGGGAAAGCAGATTGCTCCTCCTCCAATGGATTGAGTGAAAAACACCTTCCCTCCATTTTGACCTTGAACATCTCGTGTCAGATTACTGGGTTCCACTCTATCTGTTTCCATCCATGATGAAGGCAATGTGGTCGGGAATTGGACCGATAGATATGACATTAAACAAGCATTTCCTTAGAAAAGTAACTGATCCTCGGAACAGTTGGCTTGTTCTACCACTCATTTTCTCCATCATCACGATCTGAAGCCAAAAGAAAAGCCATCAGACTCAGACAAAGCTGATTATTAGCAAATGAATTCGTTTAAGATGCACGAGAGTTGAGTGAATATGGAAATCTAAAATCCTTCACAAACTAGTACAATACAAAGGTAGAGTCAAGCATTAGTTAGAGTCTCCAAGTAATCAAACAAAAAATAATGCTTTTATTGTTATGGATGGTTGATTTTGCATATGAATTCGCAGTGACTAACTCGGAAAACAAACAGATTAGTCCCAAAAGATGCCCTATTGAGCTAAATCCTCAAAAAGAAAAGAAAAACAAAACTGCTTTCTTAGACGGCCAAAGACAAGAGACTATGAAATGAATGAACCGTGTACAGAACTTATCTAAAACATAATTAATAATAATGACTCAAGCATTTTATCAAACGTAAGGTGGGGACAAAACAATGACATAGATTTCTAAATCGAGTTCATTGTTGAAGAAACTCTAAGCTGACAAACACTTAAACACTTAAATCGAGTCCACTTATTTCACTTGACAAATAAACCAAAATCAAACAGCCACATTTTTTTCTTTCTTTTCTAAACGGAGAGAAAGAAAGAAAAAATATATTTTTTTTACTTTTTCGGTTATCCTCTATTTTCTTTGTTTTTCTAGATATGGAGTAGCCTTTGGAAGTATATTTAATAGAGAGAATGGGACAGGTGTTCTTAGGGAGGCAAGTGGCAGATGTCTTTTTTTTTTTTTTTTAGAGAAAGAAAAAAATAGATTAAGATTTGAGATAAATTAAAATTAATAGGTTAATAATTTACATAAGTTAATAAATAGGTTAAATTATTATTTTCGTTCATAATTTGTCTGATTATAAACCATAACTTGACAAGTTATTGTCCATAACTTATCTAGTTATGAATCATAACTTGACAAGTTTATCCATAATTTATATTGTTATGAACCATAACTTATATTGTTATGAACCATAACTTGACAAATTTATCCATAATTTATCTAATTATAAACTATAACTTAATAAATTATGACCTATTAATTTCCATAACTAAAAATTAACCTGTATACTTTCTTAAACTTTTCATATTAACATATTTTCTACTATTTCTGTTTTCTTTCTTTTACATGAGAGATGGACAGCTGGATAACAATGCAGGCGGGTTGCAGGGTCGAAAATAGTATTTTATTTGGTGTCGGGGCATTTAAGTAATTTAACTCATTAAAATGATAAGAAGATGTATCATTGTATAACAGCGACGACATTAATGTAGCGTTTTACTTTCAAAACAAGTACACGTGAAATAAGTGAACAAATTACCTAGTTTTATTTACAATACCTGAATTGCGGGATATCCTATAAATGTATTCGAAGGTCGTTTGCTTGTTGGAGAAAGGAGAAATGTGGCGACGTAATATTGCATTACTGCATGGAATATAATTTCCAACGTTAATGGGGAGTTTCGCCGTTAACGTGAAAAGCAAAAAGATATTAAAACGGTGGAAAATGAATGCACAGAGTGTATAGGTTATGACTTACTAATGGGAGGTATAATAAGCCTCGGTCTTAGATCTGGATCACCAAGTTCTGAAGGAATCAATTTTCCTGTTCACTTTCCCGCTTTTGTTGCTCGTTTATCTCAGTTCTTTCAAGTTGCATTCTCGATATATTTACTTTATATAGCACACGGTATAAACAGTAGTTGGTTTGGTAGAGCGCTCTTGTTGTTGTTGTCATTCTTTTTGTATAAATTGATTGATTTATTTATTTATTTATTTATTTTTGACTTGTTCAAACCGGAAGCTCTAGGCTGTTACTGGAACCTTATTTTATTCATTCTAATGATCATGTGTGAATCCGATCCCTTAAAAAACAATCGTGCTTTTTATTTCATGTTTAATGTCTAGACAATCTAAACTATCGTATGACATTAAAATTTAGAGGAAAGATAAAGATGGGTAACAAAGCATAAATCTGGATGAATTGGACATTGAAAAGGTGAAATGAGACTAGCAGAAACAGAGCAAGAGTCTAGGAGGAGGCTTGAAGCTGAGTCGCGTAGGGAGGCCAGTAGAGGTGAAATTCAATCTTGTAGGTGACTGTGATGCCCTTGAGAATGACGGGGGAGGAGGTAACGTAGCCTTGCACAAAAGTGAAGTCACCGGTGCCTCCCACCACCGGATGATCCGAGGGCTTGGTGTTGTGCGTGCCTCCGACTATGGATATTGAGCCACTGTGGTGCTTCAGGCGGAGAGTGATAGAGATTATAGAAAGGCTGCGGAGGCCATCTAAGCTAGAAGTGATGAGAGTTCCTTCTGCAGTACCCGCCACTTTTGAAGACCTGTTCGCTTTGATGGTCATGGGGTCCTGAAAGGCGAACAAGGTTCCGAAAGGAGCTGTTGTTAGAGAAAGGTTAGCCCCGGCCACACCTTTTACTATGAAATACCCGGTTTTGTTTATGGTTTCTTGTTGAAAGAGCGCGAAGTGGATGGACTTGATTTCGTATTGGTGGTGGTGGTGGTGGTGATGGTGGTGAGAAGTAGACGTGGCGGTTTGAATTGAGAAGAGGGCAAACAGGACAACAACAAGAACAAAGGTATGCAAAGAAGAAGCCATTGTAGTCTTTGGAGTGTTATAGTGAAGATCAAGTATACATGTCTTTTGCTTAGGCAAGCCATGCTTATATAACATCGGTAGGGCATTAATCCAAGGTTGTTTGGTGATAAAATTGTCTCAACGTGAACTAGAAAGTATGACTTGGTCAGCACAACACAGTCTAGCCTTTATTACAAGAAAAACACACTTAGAGGGTTTTCATCAAGACCGTCAAAGGTTGGGGTGGGTTGGTTAAAATTGACGGCAAAAGATAACTCCATTTTAATGTCATGTCTTGAGACTTTTGTTGAGCGTCTACTTTTTAAAAGCTTGAGCAGCCGTGGAACTTGGCAGTAGATTTTTGGCAGTGTTCGTAGATGAATGCGCAGGGGGTCCTCTCCAAATCTTGGCTGTTGCAGTATATTATATAGCCTTGGAAAAGTCTTTCGTTATCAAGGAGCAGCCAAAAGTAGGGCTGTTATTGCTTTCCACGTGTCACTTTGTCAATGGAAGAAGCTATAGTTGCCTATGTGGCAACGCGTGTGAGGGAGGATGCATGGATGTGTGGTGTGGTGTCGTTTTCATCAAGACCGTCAAAGCTTGGGGTTGGTTAAAATTGATGGCAAAAGAGACTCCATTTTAATGTCATGTCTTGAGAATAAACCGTGTGTGTAAGAGACTTTTGTTGAGCGTCTACTTTTCAAAAGCTTGAGCAGCCGTGGAACTATGCAATAGATTGGGTGGCAAGCAACAAAGCAAATGGATGGCTTTTTTTTTTAAGCTTGATTATTGTTATTTATCATCACCCAAAATACATCACTATCACTATAAACGTGACGGTACAATAAAAAAACATACATAATAAAAAAATATCATAATTAAATATCATATTATTATGTGACAGTTATGATATGTTACTATATATGTGATTGTATCACTAACAATAATAAATTATAATTTTACTCTGATACCAATACAGGAGATGGCGCAGCAATCAAGTTGGATTGAAGGGAACTCGTTAGATACGAGCTGCAGAAAGAAATCAACACAGGTCTATTTTTTGGCTCAAAGAGGAACCTGTTGTATTCAGCTTTCCTGCCCCTTTTATATCATATATCATATATCCAATATCCAAAACGCAGGGTTCACAAAGCCCATTACATAAGAAACGACAAACATGACATAAGTGGACACAGCCACAGCAACGACACTGAGCAAAGAAGGAAAGAAAGCAAAACGACAACACACATAGCAAATATAATAAAGACAAACGACACACAACCCCTGCATCAGTATACAGCCCCTGCATCAGTCTCCCCCACTTTGAGAAGAACTCGACTTCGAGTTCTCGTTAAGCACAGGTGCATCGTCAGGTGGGAAGTACTCGTAAAGGTCAGCCACGTTGAAGGTGTTAGAAATCTGCATGTCCGATGGGAGGTCGACAACATAAGCATTATCGTTGATCTTGTGAAGGATTGGGAATGGCCCGAGCTTTCGCGCGTGGAGTTTGTGACATCCACCAGGGGGTAAGCGAGCCTTTCGAAGATGAACCATGACAAGATCACCCACGTTGAACAATTTCTCGCGACGATGCTGGTCGGCTTGGGCTTTGTATTTGGCGTTAGCTGCTTCAAGTTTCTGTGCGACATCACGATGAAGATGGACAACATGATCTGCAAGCTCCAAAGCAGATTTGTTCTTTGGGTGAGGAAGTGGCACAAGGTCAACAGATTGATTCGGGATTTTGGTGTAGACGATGGAGAACGGAGAACGACCAGTAGAGCGGTTTGGTACACTGTTATAAGTGAATTCCACCTGAGGAAGAGCCAAATCCCAGTTTTTCGGGTGATCGGAAACAACGCACCATAACATGTTACCAAGAGTACGGTTTACCACCTCCGTTTGGCCGTCCATTTGAGGATGGTAGGCAGTACTGAATTGCAAGGAAGTATTAAGGCGCTGCCATAGGACCTTCTAGAAATGACTTACAAACTTGACATCGCGATCGAAAGTGATTGTGCTTGGGATGCCATGTAGGCAAACGACCTCGCGAAAGAACAACTTGGCGACATAGCTCGCATCGGCAGCTTTCTTGCAAGGGAGAAAATGGGCCATTTTTTAGAAACGGTCAACCACAACAAAGAGTGAGTCAATATGGCGAGGAGTCTTTGGAAGACCCAAGACGAAGTCCATTGAAAGATCTGTTGGCCCAAGGTTGAATATTCTCATGTTTTAATGATCACAAACACAATGTATTATGTTTCTAATGATTCTATTTTGAGTTGTGTATTTAACATAATTAATGTTATAAATCAACTCAAGAAGCATTTTGTGGAATACAATGCAAATACATTCAAGATTGACAAATGCAAATTGAAGAAGGAATTCAAGGCTTGAAGTGCTAAAATACCAAAGATCAAGAGCAAGCAAACAAAATCAAGCTGGACAAGTACTAATAGGTTTTTAATATCACGTTAGTCTTGTATTTGATTTTGACTTCATACTATCATGATTAATTATTGTTTAGGCTCATGCACACACTCACATTATTCTTTAAAAAATGAGACTAAACTTAGTGCATAGTGACATTTGGCCTAAAAGTACAAATGTGTGAAGATTTGAGGCAAATTAAGTGTCAACCGGTCGACCTACGTCGTCCGGTGACAGAGAAGGCTAAATGCACCGGTCGACCGATGATACCTCAACCGGTCAACCGCTCCGGTCGATCGGTTCTGTTCAACAGACACTCAATAAGAATGTTGAACAGCACGAATTCAAATTTGTCTCAACCGGTCAATCGCTCCAGTCGACCGGTACTGGGTAAACGAGCAAAAATATGACCGTTGGCAAGAGAGGTTAAATAGAGAAAAGTCATTTTTCTCAATAGTAGATTTTGTGAAAAACAGAGAACGAATTCAAAGCTTCAAAAATAAAAAAGAGAGTTCTCCATTGTGTCTACATAATCATCATCTTCTCTAAATCCTTAACTCTCTCACACATAATTGAGCCTACCTTGAATTATCTTGTGATAGTGTGAGTTCATCATCTCCTAGTGATTTCAATTGTGTAAAACCATTGTTAGGAGAGTAAAACTAAGTGCTTCACTACTCATAATCATTACTTTGGTATTGGGTTACTTGGTTGGTCGACCTCCGTGGAAAATTGACATTGTGTAAGAGGTTAGGCGAAGCCTCGGGTAGAAAGATTCGCCTTCTTGTAAGAGGAGTGATCGTGCCGAAAAGTCGATCGAATAGTGAAAGAGGTTGAGAGGCGGAATATCTCGGCGACAGTGGATGTAGGCAAATTTATTTATCAAACCACTATAAATCTCGTTTGCATCTCTCTAACTCTATCTCTTTAATTTCCGCACTTTAAATTTGATTGCTGACATTGATTGGTTTAACTCGTCGTGATAAGTTTATTGAACTCTTTTTATGATATTAGATTGGTCCATGTAAATCAAGTGGTTGAGCTATTGCATTAACTTACATAATTTTCTGTACACCAAGTGTTTGATAAAAGTACCTTGTTCAATTAATTGTCTATATTTAGTTTTAATCTTCGAATAATCGTATAAACTCTCAAAAAATATTCAAACCCCAATTCACCCCCCTCTTGGGTAGCCTTATTCGGGACAACAATTGGTATCAAAGCAAGGTTGCTCAAATTTCTATAAAAAGATTTTACAATCTTGAGCATGGCTACACAAAACTTTCAAAACATGGAAGGTCAGGGGTTGATTATAATTATTGGAAAGGAAGAATGAGAATTTATTTACCATCTATCGATTATGCCTTGTGGTGAAATGTCGAAAATGGTCCATTTGTTCCCACAAAGAGAAATGAAGATAAATTAGTTCCTAAGGACCCTAGTGAATATGATGAAGATGATGAAAGAAAATTATCCTTAAATGCTAAAACTATGAACATTTTGTATTGTGCTTTAGATAGAAATGAGTTTAATAGGATTACTTCGTGTAAGTCCGCACAAGCCATATGGCATACTTTAGAGGTAATACATGAGGGTACAAACCAAGTAAAAGAAACTAAGATAAATCACCTTGTTCGTGCATACGAAATGTTCGAAATGAAAGATGATGAATCAATCACCTCTATGTATACACGATTCACCGATATAGTTAACGGTTTAAATTCTCTTGATAGACCATTCAAGGAAAGTGAATTGGTGAACAAGATCATGAGGTCATTGCCTAAGTCATGGAGGGTCAAGAGAACCACCTTGGAGGAAATGAAACACCTATCAACTATCTCACTTGATGATTTGATCGGATCTTTAATGACTCATGAACTCTCTCGAATGAAAGACAAGGAAGAAGATGATAAGAAAAAGAAAGGAATAGCGATAAGAAGAAAAAGGGAATAGCATTGAAAGCTTCAATTCAAGAAGAAGTTAATGAGCATGAGGAAGAAGATGAACTTGATCAATTAGACAAGGAAATGATCTCCCTATTTACCAAGAAATACAAGAGATTCTACAACAAGTTTAACCAAGGCAAGAGCTCAAGAAGAAATGAAGAAAGGGGAGACAAAATCAAATGGGATGAAATCATTTGCTATGATTGCAAGAAGCCTGGACACAAGAGGACAGAGTGTCCTCTCAAAAGGAGCAACAAGAAGAGCTCCAAAAGAGATGAACTCAAAAAGGTTCTCCAAGCAACTTGGGATGAATTAGAGCTCGGAGAATCCGATAGTGATGAGCAAGAAGAAATAGCAAATATGTGCTTCATGGCCTTTGATGATAATGAGGTAACCTCAAATTCTAAACTTCATATCGAGGAAAATAGTATTATACCTTTTTCAAATGAGGATATAGAACATGCATTTTCCGAATTACATGAAGAATATACTAAACTTGCTCATAGAAATGCATCTCATAGAAAAACTATAGAACTACTTAAGAAAGAAATCACATTGTTGACAAATGAGAAAAGTACGATATTATGTGAAAATGTCTCTTTAAAAGAAAAGGTTGATGATTTGACAAAGATCATTTTGAAGTTCACCAATGGAAAGAAAAACTTTGATCAAATGCTTGGTGGACAAAGATGCGTTTTCAAC